TAACGACAATATACAGGACCAGTAGTCGGAGGAGTTGTGGGCAATACTAATCCCAGATACTGTCTGTTTGGCGATACCGTCAACATTGCCTCCAGACTGGAGACAACGTATGTCTCAAAAAACTGATGTTTTGTTGAGTAAAATATTTTATACATTTATATAAAAATATAATTCACAAAAGAAAAAAATAAATCAAATTTTCAAAAATAGCTACCATTCAGTGGAAAGAAGCATAAAAATAGATCTTTATTATAATACATACAAAATAAATTGTTTTACATTTTTGGTGGTAAAATAGGCATATATTTTTAGAAAATACGATATATTTAGTATAAAACAAATTGAATTTTTTCACATATGGACTGTCCATTTAGGAGTCAGTCCTATCGCATACACATTAGTAAAGCCACTGAAGAGAGGCTGAAGAGGAGCGGCCAATATATCATGGAATACAGGGGAGAGATAACCCTAAAAGGTTTATTTAATTTCCTATTTTCACTTTATTACTATTATTAATTTATTTTTACACTAATAATATACAGTACAGTACTTTACGAGTAAAATATTATTCATTTTGTATGCAAATATTTTATACAATGTTGCCTTTAAAATACATTTATCATACCTTAAGTTGCCTTTCATTCAAATTCTGCTAAATATTTTGCTTTAATAATGAGAATAATAGGATTTTATTTACTGATTAATACCATGTTTAATACGATGACACGTAAATACGATATGTTTTGAAAAATATTGAATGAAATTTTTTTTCCATTAAATTTGTATGTCATATTTTGTAGATAAAATTTGAACAAAAATATATTAACTAAATAATAAATTACTCAATTAATATATTCAATACAAAGTTAATGCAATTCTATAGTATTGGATGTCAGTGTGGGGTAAATATTTTGTGTATTGAATTATTAGTTTATGTTTATTAAAGTTTTTAAATAATGGATTAAATTTGCAAAGTTTGTTAGATCTAATTTAATTAAAAACAACTAGCCCACATTTGAACAAAAGTGTTGCAAAATACCTGCATATATTATTTTATTAGTGAAATGAGATATAATTTATAATAATTAAATTATAACTATTATATTTCTATATGTCTGTGCGATAGGCCGTGGAAAGCAACCCACGTATTATCTCATTGGGAAGCATGGCTTTGATAAGATACTACCGGCGCCTATGGATAAAGAGTTAATACACTTATTATTAAAAATACAATATTTGTTTAATAATAATCAAATATTTTTGCTTCATTTGAATTGATTTCCTGCCATGAAATGCAATCTTCAGCGAAGATAATGACAGTCACGGCATAGAAGACGAGGAGGTGTTCACTGCACTCGGTTTTAAAAAGCAATTCCTTTAGATTTAAATCTCAATTTCCGAAACGGCTTTTTATTCACGTATAAAACACAGCGCATAGAAAATACATGTCTTTATAATCATATCAATGACAAACACAATTATATTTATAAATCTAGTAATAGTAATGGCGTTCGTGAGTGTGTATGTGTGTCGCCTCACAAGTCTGTCTTCGCCTCGTCGTCGTCGCCGCGGTTACCGCTATCCGAGCTGTCGGTGCGCTCATCGCTGGTCGCCATCTCAACGCCCGCATCCCTGTCCTCATCGATCTCCGGACTCTCGTGAATGTTGTCAATCTTTGGCGCCTCTTTGGACAGCGTATTCTTGATGTCCGATATCTGGAAGCGATTGAATGGCGACTCATTGCGTCGATTATCATAAGCTATTTGTGCCATTTCTTTCAGATTCTGTGCCATCCCTTTGCCAGTCATGCGGACCATCGACGCGAAGAGTCCGCTCTCATTAGCCAATAGTGTGTGCGGTTCGTCAAACTCGATGACCCGCCCGGCGTCCAACACTAGCACCCGATCCGAGTCCATAATGGTGTGCAGCCTATGGGCGATGGTTAGTACTGTGCAGTCGGCGAACTTGTCCCTGATGGTCTGCTGGATCAACGCGTCGGTCCTATTGTTGTTTTGTATATGTTTATTATTAATATTGATTAACAATGAGCAAGGTGCTCTTTTGGTAAATGTTTACTATGTAAACTAATGTGTGTCATGGGTTTTTAGACTATTTTTAATATAGATGTTTAGAAATAATAATTTGGTAATCAGTTCCTAATGTTAATAAAAATAGTGCTGTTTTTGGGGCCAAATATAGTGTAAATCTATTTAGAAATATTTTTCTAGTGTTTAATCGCATGATTTAATTGATGCCATAAAATGCCTGAACATTGACCGACACCTCATTTATTATGGGATTTATCTATAGAGCACTTTCTCGTATCGGAATTATATTATAAATATTATGACTAAAAATATACATATTTATTAAGTATTGTTAACTATTATTAAACTATTTGTTATCTTAAATAAATTCGTGGAAAAATATATATATGTATTTGTCATAAAAATCAGAGCCAAAAAGACTATAGTAATCAATATTATCGATAAACTAAATCAGTAATAAATGCATAAAACAAACACAAATCGGTAATTATTACTACTATTATTAGGTGTTGTGTTTAATCAAACACTCATGTAATTGACTGTAATTTCTGTTATCACTTTAATTACTGTATTAATAAAGCACTTATTGTATTAACACGTATTGTGTAAATGAAAAGTATAAAAATCAAATAAAAAAAATGCTGATAACGTTATGGCAGAAAAAAGTGATCATTAAATTAATAGTAATATAAATAGCGATTGTATTCAATGATAAGCTCGAGAGATATCCTATAGTTTTATAACTCACATAACTATTAAATTACGGTAAAAAGTTAGGGCAAACAAAAAAGCATGAATGTAAGCACACGTACGTGGGGTCGACATTGGCCGTGGCCTCGTCCAGCACCAGAATCCTATTGTTCTTGAGTATAGCCCGGGCGAGGCATATGAGCTGTCTCTGGCCGACACTGAAATTGCCGCCGCCTTCCGATATGTCTGCGTCCAGACCTCCGGCCAGGTCTATGACGGCGTCCTTCAGGCGGACCTCTTCGAGCACTTCCCACAAGCGTTTGTCTGTGTGGCCGTTGAAGGGGTCGATGTTTCGCCGGACGGGACCGGCGAACAGCACCGGGTCTTGCGGTATAATTGACAACTTGTTACGCAAATCGGCCAAACTTATGCTGGAGGTGTCCACGCCGTCGATCACCATCAGACCAGTTGGCGGTGACATACGGA